TTCGTGGTTTTTGTATTAGACCCGTCGTCCATTTATTTGTAAGTCAACGGTATTTATAGTTTTATTCGTTGTGTTCCATTGTTTAATAAAATATTTTTACTTTATTTAATCGTTTATGTAGGTAGTATTAATATTTTCTTAGAAGTGTAAATATTTTTTTGAACTTTTAAATAACAAATTATCATTCGTTTCTTTTTTTAGTCACAAGGTATTTTATTGTACAATTTTATTGCACGATACTATGGGCTGCTTTTGTACATTCCTAAATATGGTTTGAGGAGTTCCGATTGGTTACTTATTTTATTTATTTATTATATGGACAACAAAATTGATAACAATCAAATTAAGTACATTGATATAAATTAAATATGATATAACAAAGTTCTGTACTAGATTGTAACCCTACTTACGTTGACACGTCATTCTAAAGTAACAAGAAAGAACTACTTTAAATTGTCTGATAATTTACTTATTTACTTAATACTAAAGCGTCAAGGGAATGGGTGAAAATCTATACACGTGCAAGCTGTGTACTACTCTGGATCTTGGATCAAAAATGCCCTAATCGATATTTTTCATAGATATCTCGTTGTAAAGCACACACAGCGAGATATGTATGCAAAATATCACATTCTAAGAAAGGGGTAAAACTCCTTCTCAAACATTCAATTATAATATAGCGAAGGAATGTAGAAGATTTTCTCTGATAAAGTGTGATCGGCAGTTATAAATAAAAGTATAATAAAAAGAGAACGTACGTGAACGATTTTAGTATTCTAACTATCATGGAAATCATCATCACGGTGATGGCTAAATTTACAGGCTTGTATTTCTTCCTAACGTATTTTTGTATCGTTGTCTTCAGGTCACGAGAACTGCACCTTCCACCATGACCTGGAGCTGGACCACAGGCCTCCCACCAGGGAGGCTCTGCTACCTGACATGGCCAACTCTTACAAACTACTGCTCACTGGTAAATTTAGTTCTTCATTAAACTCTATCGCTGTTCTTGAAAAGTCATGGTTATCTGTATATTCCAAGGGTTCCTGGAGTCTATTTGTTGCTACTAACAAATAGACTGAATAATTAATAACGAAAGCCACAACTTACGGCGGCGTCTAACAGGGTTTATATTGTACCCACGAGGCTTTAAAGACAGCTAATTAAACAACCATGTTTGTTTTTATGCCAATATATCGGCGACTGTCTTTGCGTTTATTGACATAGTTGTTCAAATCTTTTAACGGGAGGGTACTGTTTGACAATGATAATATTTTTGCCAATATGTCGGGGTTTTCAACAGGGACATAACAATTTTTGTATTTCTATAAAACATAGAATAACTTTGAGATATCATAGAGCTGAAATCTATTCCAGGTGCAATGCACATGAATTCAAGAACGGAATTCGATCTCGTTCGTTTTTTTAAGTAATATCGTGCCATCTCATCCTTCAAAATGGTTCCAACTGAAAACCAGCGTTACAGCAATTGAGCTGTGACATATGCTGAGTTTGGATCCATTTCAGCTCGTAACTGTAACTCTTTGTATACTGGCAATGTGTGATGCTGGCTGAATAAACGTTTCTTTCTTTCTTTCTTTCTTTCATATGATTACCTCGAGCACGTTTGCAGCATTCAATTCCCTGTAGCCAATTTTCCACCACTCTTCCACGCATATCGGCCACAATGTTGGTAATTTGGCCTTTGATATTGTGCCTGAGCTCATTTAACATTGTTGGCTTGTTGGCATAAAGCACAGACAGGACCATTTGGCGAGATTACACGATTATCGAACTTCTTCTTCAATATATCAATTGTTTGATCAGCTGTACGACCACTGTAATCGTGCTCGCGGTGGTAATTTAAAAGATATCTAATTAAATTTTTAAATATAACACGTGTGCTAAACCTGGAGTAAATTTCAACTCCATATCCCAATTATTCTGTGTTTTACTGAAATACAAAATTGTTATGTCCTTATTGGAAAACCCATATGTCCTATATATTGATTGAATTATGGCTTTGGAATTTTTAAAGCCAATAACCTCATAATGTAATTTGTAGGTCTCGGGGAAGATCCTGAACGTGATGGCTTGCTAAAGACTCCAGAACGCGCTGCTAAAGCCATGCTGTTCTTCACTAAAGGATATGACCAAAGCTTGGAAGGTAATTTTTTTATAGTTACAAAAGTGCGCGAGATCAAATACCTCTACCTCACCCAAGGATGAGACTGACGATGGAGCATACACACCTATATAAACGCCTATTCACTCTCGCCTTGAAATCAGTTTTATTACCAGAACAAATTTAATAAAGCCTTCCAAATCGATTTAGGCGACTTATAATTATTACATTGGTTCTTGTGATTTCAAATGTATTTTTGTTACGCTTTACAGGCTCGTCGGTTAAGTGTCTCTTGACCTAGCCTTTCTTTAGGACTTCCTCAATTTGATCGTGGTCAGCCCTTACCAACTTACCCTTTTACATTTGCCTCATAAATCTGTTTTGTCAATATTCTTTCATTGAACCTCGTACATGTCAATATTATATTTTTTTGCTAGTGTCTATATAATATCTTTATTTTCCAGATGTCCTGAACAACGCAATCTTCGACGAAGACACCGACGAGATGGTGGTGGTGAAGGACATTGAAATGTTCTCCATGTGCGAGCACCACTTGGTGCCTTTCTACGGCAAAGTCTCCATCGGTTATCTACCGCAGGGCAAGATCTTGGGACTGAGCAAGCTTGCCAGGTAACCGTTTGAATATTTCTTATACTTCAATACCACGTTTAAATTGCACAAGGTTGAATCAGATCGCCGTTCAGTCTGAAATTTTAACGATTACATTTTTTTTTTGAACATCAAGTTGTTGACCAGTGTAAGCAACAAATTGTTCTAAATTTTCTTATTAAGAAAATACTCTAAATTAATATTGTTTTCGTACGACAAAGAACCTGCTAATTTGATACTAAGTAATAAACAAAATTATATACATTGGTGCTATGCTGAAGACCATAAAGCCAGCGAGTTAAAGAGAAGCGTGGTCTCTGACGTCAAAGACGTCATCTCGTCATCTTCATCAGTTTAAATAATGTTCGTTTAATTCCAGAATCGTGGAGATTTTCTCCCGCCGTCTCCAGGTACAAGAGCGCCTTACCAAGCAAATCGCTATTGCGGTCACCCAGGCAGTGCGACCTGCTGGAGTCGCCGTTGTCGTTGAGGGAGTGTAAGTAAATTGCTTACGATCTCGTGCAAACCGTTAAATTGACAAACTTAACACAATGGTCATTTGTAATTTTAGAAAGCATCTTCAGTGTTTCGCTTTCAGGGATAAAGAGAGAGTCTTGTCATTTGAAATATTTTCTTCTTCTTTCTAGTACCTATTCTAGGGCATGCACTATCATGCTTGCCATCGTGGTGAACGTATTAGCTTAACGGCGTAAGGTACTAGCCAATTGTTGCCTAGGGTGCGCCAGATATACAAGAAAGAAATGGTACGTCGTTCAGGGAGGCTCCTTTCGTGCACTCCACGAGACGAAAGAGTCAATATGGAGATATCTTCGAGAAGTCTTGTAAATCTTTGATATAAGAATCTAATTTGCATAATATGACACGTTTAGAATCAGTACTAAAAGAACCAACTAATTCGAAGGTCAACCTGACGTTCAGAGCATTTCTGAAACCCAAATGGTTTTGGAAATTTATACAATCTGAAAGCAACTCTGGCTTTCAAATTACGCTAGGACGCGAATATTTTTGTGTACACGCAAGAAATACAACACTTAAAGATTTTTCTCTCCACAGCCACATGTGCATGGTGATGCGAGGAGTTCAGAAGATCAACAGCAAGACGGTCACGTCAACCATGCTTGGAGTCTTCCGGGATGATCCTAAGACCAGGGAGGAGTTCCTCAACCTTGTCCATTCCAAGTGAGAAGCTGGCTGGAACTTGGCGTTCTTTTGGCTTCACTTGTGTTCTGATGTCTTGGCCTTGTTTATGAGCTATTTTTAAGTATCATCTCGGAGCGTATATTACTTTTCCTATCTATATAACAAACGTGAAAGCTTGTGTATTTGTTTTCAGGTAGAATGACTTGTGTTACCTGTTTTGGTATTGCAAATATCATTTTCATTCACGACATTGATATAATAATTGATTTTTGTGATTGAATACTCCGGATGATTGTGAAATAACTGGCACATGGGACTTTTCAACTTATATCTTATGGGTGACGGGCGCCAGTGGCAGTTCCCCCCAGATCTTTGGATTTTGAAGCATTTTGCCACTGCAACTGTTATTGACAGGCGTGTCGCTTACAATCAGGCGCACGACTCGTCCGTCCCGCCACTTGGTATCATCAAAACAGATTATATTACATCAACATAGATATACATCAATTCTTTTATAAGAAGATACAAGTTTAAAAAAGACTAATAGTAAATTGTGAAAAGCTACTAAGGTTCGACACTCGAATGTCCAATTTATCCGAAATAGACTCTACCCAGGACTCGATAAAATCTAATCCATTCATTCATATAGTCTAATAAACTGGGCCAATGGAGTATTCTTCATTTTAGTAACGATTGTGTCAATACACGCTCTGTGATAGATACTTCTACTGGTTTTATTTGTATTTCATAATATCTATAGCCGTTTTATTATTTTTTGTTCCTGTGCAAATGTGTTTTAATGTTATAAACAGAGATCGAAATACTCAGAGTGTACAAATTAAATTTCCTTGAAATTCCATAATGATTAAAAAAGAGATAACATACCTTTGTGATGATGCGACCTCCTTCATCGTCATCCCACTTTTTATCAGACTCTTTCCTGGTTTCTGGCCACTTACTTTTGAAATTTTGAATCGTTCTCTAATTCCTTTTCTTCGTTATTATTACTTTGGCTCGTTCGGTCGTCACTCCTATCAAATTGCTCAAACCGAGAGGTCGTGCCATCTTTGTAGTAAATTTATACTTTTCATACATTGACTTACAAATAAATGGACGACGGGTCTAATACAAAAACCACGAAAAAAACGTCCCAAGTCAACCTATTTAAACGTAGTGACATGTAAAGGAATATGAAAAAGCTAAAACGTTGAATTTAAATTGTAATGTCATCGCAGTACTGTCTCATTTTGCTTGCTTAGCTGTCAGTCGAACAAACGAAGACTAAAGCGTGAATGACGCTCTGTATACGATTTTAACGCCCTATAAGTTCGGACACTTTTTAGCGCGGACCCGACGTCCAAATAATTGTAAGTCAATGTTTTCATACGTCAAAACTTGCCTATGTGCATTTTATAACTAAGAAACACAAAGATGCGAAGAAAATTGTTTGCGCTCATTCTTCATACATTAACATGAAGCTTTCATAAACGATTGTACGTCAAGAAATCTAATGATAAACCTATATAAGGACATCTTCAGAGCTCCCAAGGCCACATTGGACCGAAAAAACCTACAAGACATGGTTGGACGGTGCCAGCAGTTACACCTTTACTTGTTAAAATTTAAATTAAAGTTTAAACAGTGTACTCCAAAGACTTAAAGTCACAATTTTGTAGGCAAAACCTTGTCGGGACCAATTTAGTGACCCCTAGCACTCTAATTCTACTGTGAGTCACTACAGCAGACCGGGACATTGTAGCATACTATCAAGGTTACATTATTGTGATGTCATCGGATTGTCACAGTATAACAAATTTCAAGATGATCTTTTTTTTAATTAAGTGGACTTGTCTTTGGAGTAAAGATAGGATCTACGATTGAACGAGCTCGCCCAGAAGAGGCCTGTTCAGTCGCATAAAGATACTCTGGTTGTATGTGCACGAAAACACATTCGCAAGCAGGAAGTTTCATTCTTGTGCTGTGCGCATAATAAAAGATTATGAAAAGCGATTAGGAATATCGACCAAGTAAGGATGATATCTCATCGTACGTCTAGATATCTGATGACCCGATTATAGTAGAAAGACGACAAACTATGAAATTTAGATTCAAGCTTATCGTCACTAATCCAGGCTCTGCGTTCAATCGAATCAAGAGCCTCAAGGTCATACTTCGCTGAACCATCCTACAGATGACTGCAATACTCCATGCAAGATCGTGCTTTGTGCAAACTTAAGAGCTATCACACCAGCAGAACCAAATTAAATATTCATTATATGACTGAGGTCTCTACACTAACTGGGAAAAGAGTCTGATGAGACTGAGAGTATAGTTGAACAGATGTTCATCAAACATAGCTAAGATCCATCTCCATTAAATCAGCCTTCAAATAAAAAAACCTCTTTGACCTCAGTCCATCAGTTTAGGAGATATGATGTTACATATAGTCAAACACACTCTTAGGCTCTAAATCTATACTCGGGTGTTAAAGAAGTACTAGATATTAATGATGATCTTTGCAAAAGTACATCAGTGGCAGTTCTAAAATATAAAGTGGAAAAACTGGCGTTCATTTCAGACATATACAACAAGGACGTCTAACTTATAAGTAGACTCTTTTTGCGTCGGCGGTTAAAAAATTAAATAAACTATTTATAATAATATATTCACACGTAAATAACAAAACTTTTTCTAAATATTATAATATATTAATTGCTAGAAACAAAAATACAGAAGAAAATACTATTGTATTATTATATACAAACTCCGGGATTTCAGAGGGAGATGTTCTTGTTGCAGTTTAGGAAATATGATATGTGCATTCTGATCTTTGGTTTTATAACCAAGTGCCAAATTATTAAATGTTTTTAAGAGAAGATAAGTGCAATACCTGAATTGTAAAATGATAACGTATCTGTAATACCACAAACACCCTGAAACATTTAAACACATTTTTCAAAATTGTTTTCAATGGATATCTTTCAGAGAGCAAATAATTGTCATATTTGTTTTTACTATCGCTTTTATTTTCCTATAAAAATACAAGGGAACGTCATTAATTTAACTTAATTATAGTTTGGTAGCTTGTTTGAATTGTTTAACTCATTTTGAAGTAGGGTTATGAATTGTTTGTTCTCATACCTCTAACTCAAAATTTTGCGAAAATGTGTTCAATAAAATTATGTATACAGGGTACACAAAAATTCAGAAAAAATATTTATCAATAGTAAACCGCTTGGAACATACATATAGTATGCTATAATAAGATCACATAGCAGTTAGGCATGTTTTAGGTACCTAAGGTACAATCGAATTTAATTTGTTGCCCTGTGTACATAAACTGCCTTTCTTTGTTAAAATAACTGCCTTGGAATTAGCACATTTGATAGTTTTATGATTGATAGCTTTTGTCTTCTTGCTAAATGATTGCGTATGTTATATCATTTACCTACGTATTTTATGTACGCCTACTTATTTTTATTACAAAAGTAATTACTTTTCGTGACAATAAAACGACAATGTACCTATAAGAACATTTTTGAAAAATAATATTTTGTTCTAATTGCCCAATCTCACAAAAATATTATTTTTCAAAAATGTTTATAAATTGTTAACAGTCTATATTTTTATGTAATGACATGTAAAAAAAATAAGTATTTATAAAAAAAAAACAATATTTTGCGTAATAATTTGTGGACCAAATTGTTTTTTGTGTTGGAAAAAAATCTCAAGCATAATTATGGCTGATGCTTGACATTTTTTTGGAAAAAATCTATTTCTGTGTTAAATTTCATTGAAATTGAAATATTAACGATCGTGTTGCCTTAGATTTGATACTTGAATTGAATTTTGATACGTTTTAACGGAGTGACGTTTTCTGAATTTATTATATTTATTAAAATAAAGGTTTTCAATTTTAAGTTTGAAATATGTTTTTTTATTATATATTTCTTGTGAATCCCATGCTTGCAGTCAAATCTAGATTATAGTCTTTTTCAACTACAAAAATAATTACTTTCCATGATAATATACGCATATAGGCACACGACAATTTTTATTTCAATAAATCAGAATAATTGAGACATCGAGCTAATAGAGAAATATATTCTAGGTGAAGTACCTACACATGTTACATTTAAGAATGGAATCGATCTCGTTCATAGTCATATGAAATCGTGAAATTGCCAATATTTCGACCGATACGTGTGAAATAGTGGTGGAAAATTGGTTCCAAAGAAATGAACGCTGCAAACGTGCTCACGGTGGTCATATGAAGGAGATCGAAATCTATTCTTAAATGAAACATGTGAACTGCTCGTGGAATACATTTTATCTCGATACCTCAGTAATTATTCTGTGTTTCATTCAAATACAAAATTGTTATGTCCTTATTGAAAAACCCGATATATATATTAATTGATAAAAACATCATTGTCAAATAAATCCGTTGATCTTGAGCAACTACATCAGTAAACAAAAAAGTGTTTGTGTTTGGCCAAGGAAGTAGGTACTAATCTGACATCTTAGTTCTGTCGTCAAATAGTAATGTGAACGTTACTGTGTTATTCCGGTGTTGGTGAATCTACAGACACATGGGACTCGTCATTTCATACCTCAGGGTGATGAACGCAGTAGCAGCGCCCCTCAGACCTTTGCGATATAAAGCTCTTAGTGGCACTGCAACTATCATGGGTAGGTATAAACATGGAAGTGAATTAATTTGCTGCTCCGCGAACACAGTGAAGGTTAAATCGTGCAAAACGACATTTTTATTGCACCCGTAGTCTTGAAACAAAATGGCGCATTCTGAATTTTAAGCAAGGAATATAAAATATTGTGTAAAACAAAAAGAAATTTGTGTGAATCGATTTTTAAACAGGAAAGAATGCTTTAAATTTCTATTCGATATTTTATTTATTAGATATTAAAATTTGCCTGTCATATTATCTTCCATTGTTGACTTGGTCGCTAATATTGTGATAAGCACTGTTTATAAACTCGCACCCAAAAGGCTTTACTATATGATCACACGTCAAAAGTGTGTTCATCACATGAAAATCATAAAAATAATACAGACTACACAACGATATCTACTAGACAAACTACGTGTATGTGAAACTTTACAACTCATTGTTTATTTTACTTTCAA